ACGTCAGGGGCGGGAGAACGGCCGGGCGCCATGCAGCGCAGTGGTAAAATGGCCGCAGACCACGTCAGGGGCGGAAAAATGGCCGCGGACCACGTGTCAGGTCGGAAAAATGACCGTACTCTGAGGTGGAGTTCCCACATCGAGGTAAATTTTTGCGGCCGGAGCTGGTCGTAACCCGAAAAGTTCATTTGTAGAGACGTTCGTATCCCGAGGTATCACTGTAATGTAAACTACTGTCTGGCTATTTGTATAGTGTATATTTTCTGCATTTGTGTTGTTTGACCATAAAGACCATAAAGGAAGCTAATGGTATGTGTTCATTGTTGTCAACTCCATCTTAATCTGCCAAATCCAGAAGCTGAACTGGAATACTACATTCAAATGTGCTTTTTAAATCACAGATTTTTCCACTTGTGTCACATTAACCAGGAACGCAAAGTCCAGGAGAATATCCTGAAAAAAAAGTCACCAAACTTCTGAACAAGATGTCAAGACTTGTTTTTTATGCAGTGCCGCTGAATTGCAACTCTCTTTTGTAGTATGACTTCAAAACCTCTTTTGAAAACAGAGAGATCCAGTGGTTACTTTCAAGATCTTGAGAGATCATTACAGGTGGACATATGTTCATCCCACTTTCCTCTGCTAACATTTTGTAGATGGTCCTGAAACCTGCTGTATCCATCGGAGAAGAGGCAACAGTAGAACAAGACAGCAAAATCACCCAAGCTATTTTCAGCTCTCTTCAGAACAAATTAAGAGTGCAAGTTTGCCTGCTCCTCTGTGTTGGAAAGCCTTTGGGACTGTAGGAAAATTAGCAAAGCAGGAGAACTCTTTGAACTATTTCTCCCATGCCAGACTGATCTTTCATGGGACAACAGTCCAACAGGTCTAGCTTACCAGATGTCCGGCAAAAGGTGGACATGTCCTCCTCTGTCCGCCTTAAAATCAAATATTGTCTGGCTTTTTGAGAATCTTTTTTTTTTTGGTTAATTTTGGACTGTTTTCACAACAGCAGCCATTCAAACTTCCATGTATTGTGACCTTATAAATTGTCTGCTTCTTTCTTTCCCTCTAAGAGACTCAGCAGCCTAGATTGACCTTATTAATTTATTTCCTGATTCCAGCAATTGGCTTCAATCCAGCCCCTTCAGATCTATGATCACTGGAGTCTGTAGGTCCCTTGACTCATCATACGTTTCTATGGTGAAATCTGGAAAGCCCGTCGTTGTCAATTCTGTATTATCGCTAGCGTATGTTCTTGAAGATGAAGATTTGTTGGAAAAATATTGCGATTGAAGAACCAATCTTTCTGATGCTGGAAAAAGTAATTTCATAGGCATGGAGGCCTAAGTACATTTTTTTGGCAGTATGCCGCTGTAATTTTTGTCCTGGTGTCCAAGAAAGTTCAACAGTTAGTGTGTCCTCCTCCCGCCCCCACCCCATTTGTCCTCCTTTCCCACTGCCCATGCCTTCCTTTGCTTGTTCAGGTATGTGGTAACCCTAAACAGGTCAGGCTGTCCTGGGACAAGGCAGAAGGGTGGCTGGTCCTTCTCCCCGTTCGGCTCTGCCTTGCAGAGCACTGGACGGACAGATTCCCTCTTAGAGAGACTCTCTCAGTTACACGGCTGCCTTCCTCCTTTTGCAAGAATGCTGCACGGCTCGCCGCCCCCCCCCCCCCCCACCGTCCCCAGCAGGACTCAGAGGCCCTTTCCCTTCAGCGATCAGCATTCCTTCCCCAAACGAGACACGCGATTGTGGAAACTTGACATTTAAGCGCAGGATGTCCCTGCGGCGTCCAGGGTTTCTGCCCAGGGGCTGCCAGCTGAGCATTTGGGAAAACACCGTCCTGGTTTAAATGGGCCTCCTTGGGCAGCTGTAAACACGTCACTAACCCCTACCGGGGTTGCTTTGGCTGCTGCACGAAACCCGCCACTGCGGTTCACACGTCAGAGTTCTTGCGATGAGCGCGGCCGATACAATGTGGTCAATCAGCGCTTCGTTTACTGGCTGGGCTGGCAGCCCAAGGATGCTGTTCGGGCGGCCCAGGGAAGGCAGCGCGGGCTGCCCGCGGATGGAGAGGCCTCGCTCGGCCGCTGGGCTACCGGGCCAGCCGCAAGGCC